ACGGCAGAGTTCGCAAGCACTAGCATAGCGCTACACATGTTGTTATAAATGAATATTAGTGAGACTGGGCGACGGCAAGCAACACGACTCTGGCGGGTTAAAAAGGCAAGAGCGTGATTCCATCGAGGCAAAGGTCCGTCCGCGGCACCGCCATGGCCCTCCTCAAGAAAGGATGCCCCATGTACCGCCACACCATGCGCGACCCGCGCACGGATAAACTCCTCCCGGACTGCGTCACGTCCAGGTGGGTCAGGGCTTTTGCGGACAGGTGGCAAGTCACCTTGGAGGAACGCCTCATAGGCACCAACATCCCCATGTACAAACGCAGGCAGATAGAGCTAGAGGAGAAGCTCATTGCCTATCATCTCGGCTGTATGCAGAGGCAATTTCACACCGGCCTTGTCTCAGAGGACACCATCCAAGTCCTGGCCCCGTTGCACTTTGTCCTCAACACCACCACGGGGAAGAGCCTCGGTTTTGGAGAGCAGCCACATCTCGAGTTTACGGAAATGATGGACGGCGCGAGACCCATCACCGTCTTGCTCAGGGTCGCCGGCGGCAAGGACGCCACCGTCTTAAACCCGCTTGTCATCTTTCAGCACACAGACAGGCAATATCCCATACAAGGCGTGTCGGACGATATGCCAGGCGTCAGGTATCGCACGTCCCCCACGGGGTGGGTCGATCCCGAGGTGCTGGCCAGCTTTTTTGACGACGCCCCAGGGAAAGGGGAAGCAACGGATGACGGCAGCAAGTCGATTTTGTTTGTGGATCCGTCCGTCTGGCTTCCATTCGAAAAGGACCTCCCGGGTGTGATGAAGGATACCACTGTTGACCTAAGGTTTTTGCCCAAGCAATCAAACAGCGTGTCACAGCCGGTGGAGATGGGCATTAGACAAAAGGTCAAGGAGGCGTGGAGCGAAGGGTGGCAGCAAATGAAGAAGCAGATGATCGACTTGGGCATGTGGAACGAAGAAGGACGTGACGCGAGCGGTAAGATGTTCAACGCCGGCCCACGCTTCTTTTTAAAGCTCGCTGCAAACGTAGTGCAAGCTGTGAATGCCGTCAAGGATGCAAACGGGATGACCCTCGCGCGCAAGGCAATGATTCAATCTGGAATGGCAACGAATGGGATGGGGAAATGGGAGATAGAGCAACTGCACCCGGACCTTGCTGCGATTGCCATCAAGTACAAGCAGCATTTTGACGGCGAGGTGGTCACGGACGAGGAGCGACCAAGGCCTGTCGTGAGTCAACGACAAGGGGAGGGTGACGGCGACGCAGTTTTTCCAGGGGACGAACGAGATGCGCAGCAGGATATTGATGTGCCGAAAGTGGTGGACACCCATGGGAATGACCGCGTAGGCAAGGTAAGTGTTGTAGAGGGACAAATGAACCAACAGCCTGAACAACTTGTTGAAACTGAGTCCCGCCTGATGCTGAGTCAGCCGGATGGGGAAGACCAGGCATCTGCTATTGCGACAGCAATTGCGGTTCGGGAGCGTGACAGAGAAGAGCTTGTCGGTCATGCAGAACCTACATAACAGTCAGATAGGAAAAGCCCAGCACCTACTCCATTGGCACTACTGTAGTGGCCAGGACTGAAATGCGACCGCGTGCAATCGCAGAATTCATGATGCAACTCCACTGTGGTGTCTGCTCCTGGCGCATTGTTGTATACCATAGAACTAAAGTATAAAGTGTTGTGGGAAACACAGTACGCTATTTTATGTACAATACGTGCAAAAAGTGAATGTTCGTGCATTTGCGAAGGAAAAGTGTTTCACGTGCGCACGGCATCTCCCGTGGGGCCCTTTCTACGGACTGACGCTTTCGCCGCTCCTTTAATTTCACGGCTTGCTCCGCTGCTGAAGTTCCGTTTACTGTAGTTTAAGTTACTACAGAAAGCGGACGGTTAAGACTCGATACAATGACTTGCAACACGGAAATGCTTTCAAAGGCAGGTGCTGTACAGTACAGTACCTGGCAGAATGTGAACACACGCAAGGTTGGCAAGTTTCCAAGGTAGAAACCCGAGGAACGAGGTCCTATGGGAATGGCCCTTATCGAGGAACTTGGCGGACGCTCTGGTCTTTAGAACGCCGTCGGAGATTTATCTTCTGATGTCAAATTGCGCGAGAGCGCAGCGCGGTGTTGATGACCAGCCTGGACAACATCTACCCTTCCCCAATGGCTCAAATTGAAAACCGGCTTTAATTGAAACATTGCCAATCAATAGACATTATCGAATAAAACATCCCACTGAGACCCCACAGGCTGTCCACAGCGATGGTTTCATTAAATCATGTTTTTGCGCGCAATTGCGCGCAAAAACTGCCAGATATTGCTGCAAAATGAAAAAATCATCACTTCGGCCTTCTTCAGGCGACCCACCGATAATCGCGATCAACCATCGAAATCGTGATCCCCCATGCCTTCCTAGGGTCCCTGTAGCCCATCTCCATGCAGTGTCTCCCATTGTCTAAAGTCGTTTCTTCGTCGTGTGAAAAGGGCAGTTTTCATGGATGAAATGATTTCCTCACGCATATCGATTCGAGGCCAGCGGTGGTCCGCTATAGGGACCGACCGGGCCGCTCCCGTACGGTGCCCTCTCCCTAATTGCACCGGCGTCGCTGTCGGGCGCGCGCACCCGACAGCGAACGGCGTGCCCTCTCCTTAATTACGCCGGCGGCGCGGGCTCCCGACAGCGAACGGCATGCCTCTCTCTTCCCCACCCACCCACTACCTTCTGCATATCATGCTTCTCTCTTCTCGCCAAGAGAGGTCCCTAGTACGTCTAGAGGAAGGCAACTTTTCTACGCGGTCAACAGCGCGAGACTAAGGCTCACACGCCCGCTCGTATCATGGACCTTTGGACTACGGCCAAGGCTGAGTGCGACGCCTGGCTCGCCGCCGGCTCCAAGATCAAGAAGGGAGCCAAGCCCGAGGACGCCGGGATCACGGCCGACATGATGTCGGTCTACGGCGAGATCGCCGGGCGGTATTCTCTCAACCTTCAAGTGGGGCTGTCTCGCCTCCCCTACGAGCCCGTCGTGCCAGGTATCAACGTGTTCTAGGGCGGCTTATTCTGCAACACGTGGTGGAAGCCCCGGATAGAGCTGCAGAGGGCCCAGGCCTCGATGCACTCAATCTGGAATTATGAAATGAACTACATCAACGCGACGGGATATTGGCTGGGCTTGCAGGCAACGTGCTTTGCGATGATGAACGATAAGGTGGCGAGCGCTACCACGGGTGTCGAGAAGAGGGCTGCTGAGGGAAAGGTCGCCCTTCTCTCCGCGTGGGCGCAGATCCTGTGTGAGCACGCCAGTCGCGTGCTAGCCGTGCGTATCGAGTTCTACCGCAACTCGGTAAAAGATCCCGTCGCCGCTAAGCTGAACCAAGAAATATATGAGGAGGACTCGTACCGTCCGGCGAACGAGTCGCTGGACGACCGCGCCAGGCAGATCGATGGCCTGCGCGAGAGGCAACTGATGAAGGCCTTCGCCGCCCTCGCCGCTAGCAACGCTGTCAAGCGCGGCAAGGGGGGTGGCAAGGCTGACGAGAAGCAATGCCTCGGCCTCTTGGCGACGCACGCAACAGTGGGCCGCCTCATAGAGGTCACTGGGAGCCTCGGCCTACCTTGCTAGACAGATCGCGTTCGGAATACACGACCCACCTGTTATTCCGTTCACATCTGGCGAGGTTTTAGGCGAACTACCCCAGGCAGCCGAGGATCTAGCGTTTGGGCTGGAGGACTTGGCGAAAGGATGCGCCGAGGGAATCTACGAGAAACTCAGCGCGTCCTACGTCCGCGACGCAGTCGCGAGAGGCTACATGGTGAGCAGTTCTTTCGTGGTATGGCAAGACGGCTCGGAGGGAAGGAAGGGGCGCTTTGTGGTTAGCTTTGCTAAGCAGAGCCAGCATTGGGAGAAGGGCAGCGTCAGGATGGAGACGCTTCCTGCGTACGCGCTTGAGCTTCAAGCGGGCGACCACATGCTCAGCTTCGACATCAAGGCAGGCTACCGCCATTTCCGCCTCGCCCTACAGATGAGAGACATGTTTATCTTCCGGTACAACAGGCGTTTCTACCGGTGCGTCGCGCTCCCCTTCGGATGGGGACGGTCGCCCATGTGGTTCACAAGGTTCATGAAACCACTTGTCGAGGCGTGCGTTCGGCGCACCGGCTGCGGGTGCTGCCATACCTGGACGACTTCCTGATCTGTCCCAGCCCGCCGGGCACGATCGCTTCGCTCGCGGACTGCTTCGCCGCACGCAAGACCATCGAGGCTTTGCTGAAGGACCTTGGTCTGGTCCGGCACCCCGCCAAGGGCGAGTAGGTGGGCAGCACGCGCGTGGAGCACCTCGGCGTCGTCATTGACACGGTGCTGGAGAAGTTTTTCATCGCACCGCGCAAGATCGCCAAGGTGCGCCACATGGCGAAGCACCTGATATCCGAGAGCACGCGCGGCCGTCGCTGGGTGTCAGTGGCGCGTCTGCGCAGCTTCGTCGGGCTCTGTGTCTCCTTGACGCTCGGGATGCCGTTCACGCGATTCTACACTCGCTCCCTCTACTGGGATATGAACAGCAACGGCGGCGACGTCAGTAACGTTTACGCGGAGCGCGCCAAGGCGCGAGGGCAAAGTGCGCCGCATGCTGCGAGCCTGCGAGCGCTGCGAAGCAATTCGCCCGCTGGTTTACAAAGGGCAGCTCGAGAAGGCGCGCGATGCCGTCTCTCCCATCAGGGGATACGGGACCTTCGAACCTGGTGCGAGCTCACCAGTGCCGAGCGCGAGGGTCGCCCGCTCCGCCCGGTCGCGTCGCCAGCGATGACGCTCCATACCGACGCGGCCGATGTCGGGTACGGCGGCACCTTGGGACCGGCTGAGAAGGCCGGTTCTCCGCGGAGAACCGGCCTTCTACGCCCACACGCCTTGAGCTGCCCACAACCCGGCGGGGTTGTGGGTAGCTCAAGGCGTGTGGGACTGGCAGTCGCGCGCAGAGAGCATTTCGTATCGAGAGCTGCGCGCCGTGCGCATGCTCCTGACGAAGACGTCGCGGGAACACGAGCCCTCCTTTGGCGCGCGCCTCAGGCACATGGGTGTCAGCACTGTCGGTTTACAGGGCGACAACACCGCGACTGTGCACGTTCTCAACGCCATGGTCAGCGCAGGCCGGCCGATGATGAGGGGGTTGCGGCTGCTCAAGCGCGAGCTCAACCGCCTCAAGGTCCACATCGACGCGCGATGGCTCCCGTCCGTCCTAAACAAGTACGCCGACGCGCTTTCGCGCAGGTTCCCGCGTGGCGATCTCCGGATACGCCGCTCGCTGCGGCGTTCCGTCGCGGATGGCATGAGGGCGCCCGCGACGGAGTTCCCCTACCGATCATTGGGGGAGAACCCTATGTTCTTGCGCCGCCAGAGCATGGCCGAGCTGCTGACGCCCTGGGACATCAGCGAGACGCGAGTGCTGTGCCCGCCCATCGACCTGCTGCCGGCGACTGTGCAGAAGCTGCGCCACTCAGGATGCCCGGCAGTGCTACTGATGCCGGACTGGCCGGCCCAAGCGTGGCACTCAGCCGCGCTCCAGCTCTCGACGCACGCTTTCCGTCTGCCACTCCCGCCTCATATGGCGTGGGACGGAGCCCGCACGCTGAACAAGGAATGGAGCCTGCTGCTCCTGGAGATCAACCTGCCCCCGGATCCCGGCCGTTGGCACGACCTTGGCCCGCTGGAGGAACTCCAGCAGCCGCGGAATACCGCGCCCTCATCTCGGGCGCGCTAATAACCGAGCGCTACGCGGATGGTCCTCGGGGCTTGCAGCGTGTTACTCGCTTGCTACGGGATTTCGGAATGAACGATCGCACCGCCGTCACGAAGTCCTCCAAGTGGAAATGCTACGTGCAATTCTGCGTGGCTGACGGCCTGCATCCCCTGCCTGCTACGGAGGCACACTTGCTAGGCTACATCGGCTGGCTGGCAGAGCAGCGTGAACGGAAACTCCGCGCTGTCTCCCACGCGTCTCTCGCTGGTTACCTTTCCGCGGTGCGCACCACCCATCTCTCTGTCTTAGGTGAGGAGATGCCACCGCATCCTACGGTGAAGGCCGCGTGTCTTGCATACAAGGCGTGGGAGGAGACCGCGTTCCCGGCCGCGAGTCGCCGCCTAGGCCTACCTCCCGATGTTGTCCAGGAAATCTGGGCACTCGGCATGTCCACCGACGACCTGGGTACACTACGAGACGCCTCTATGGTCGTCTTCGCATACTCTCTGTCGGGACTCCGCGACTCTTCCGTGGTCAGCATGGCTACATCGGACGTTCGGCTCACGGCCTCAGGTATCGACGTTCTCTTCAGCTTTGTGAAGGGGAAACCTGCGTCGCGGGAGTCGCCCATCTCTCTTCAATCGTCCGACTGTGGGGACGGGCTCCTCGACCTGCTGCACCGTTGGGCGGACCGCCGTGGCACGCACTCGCGGTTCTTCGCGATTTCAGGGGACGCCGCTTCCTGGCGAGCAGGGCTGCTATATGACGCTTTGCGAGGCGT